CAATTAACACCTCCCCTTCCTTGGGACTCTCGCCTGTCACCGCGTCCTCAGGCGCCACGTCCCTGACACCCGGCAGGCCAGCTCCGCTTCCATAAACGTTTCATATTCCATATTCACCTTTCCTTCATGGTGCGGAGCACAGCTGGAATTCTGGAATTCTGTTCCTTTTTCTTTCTCATCTACTTATTTAATAATTCTGATAACGTCTGTCTTCCCCACTAGCCCATAAAAAAAATTAGGACAAAGGCTGTATCATTTTTGTGCTTATCATTCTATCCCCCAGGAGATTCTGGGAAGTTTTTAATCGTGTTTATTTCTGGCCATAGCTAGATCCGTGGATTTAGTTTTGTCATTTTGAAAAATTGTAGAATGCTCTTTACTGTTTCCTTTGTGTAGGCTGAGAAATAAACTGCCTTGTTGGCTTCTGTATTTTACGGTGCTTGTTCAGTTGTACAGGTAAATGATTATTTTTAAGTTTTCCAAATCATTCTTTAGTTCATTTTTGTATATATAAAATTCAGAAACAAAACAGTAATGCTTGACTTATTGAAGAATTTAGAAGCTTATACTTTCCCCCATTTTATCTCATGATAATCGCTAATCTATCTAGAAATATACTGACCTAGAAGGTTATTTCTGAATTCTTGTTTTCGCATCTCTTTAAGGGTCTCTTTTTCTTTTTTCTTTTTACTTTTGCATTCAATTTTGTTCCACTTAAGCAATTAGTTAGCTGGAACTCTATGTTTAACTTGAATAAATATTTATCATCAAGCATTTTCCACCTGGACTTCCCCATTTGTAAATTCTTACTTGGGTTCACGCTTTGAATTGGTCTCAAAAGTAGGGCTGGTATCTGGGTTTCGGGTGGACACCATATCCACACTTCTCCCACTGACCCAGTGAGGAAGTATAGAAGTTTCTTTCTCTTGTCTTCCTCTTTGGCCCATTTTTCTTAGGGTAAAGCATGCACTGGTCACTTACAGAATTCCAACCCAGTTCATTCCAAGATGAGTCTTGTAAAAAGTTGACTGACATTTACAGGAATTTTGAGACTCCCCATCTCTCTTGTGTATGATTTATTGGATATGACAATGAATGGAGAAGGGTAAAAGAGGACCTTCTAATTTTTCACCATCTTAAAAAGGTCATGTCATTTAATCTTCATAGCAAATCCTATAGGGTTGGTCAGAGAGCTGTTTGACAGTTGAGGAAACAGGTTTAGGGAGATTAGGTGACTTTCCCAAGATCACATAGCTAATAAATGGCACAATCTAGGCCTACCACAGTCCATGGCCTGTGGCCTCCTTACAACAAAAATTTGTTGAATGAATGACTGACTGACTGAATGAATGAACAAAAGAACTATGGAATGAACTTGGACTGTGTTTATTTTGAAAACCACCTTTTTTCATTTCTGATTGAATCCTTAACTTACTACAGAAAACGTAACATAAAAAAGTTTAAGGAGACAAACCACAAGAAGCGGAATGAGTCATTTTAATGAAAAGTGGGACATATTTAAAGAAAGTGTATTCTCCAAGTATGAAAGTTTATTTTTGGAAAGTTTGAAAGATCCTATCTCTGCTACAGAGCAGAAAGGGTAATGGATTATCTTGACGAAATCAAAGTCCATCAGCTTTTAATTATCTAATTACTTCTCCACCAGAGCTTTTAGCTACCATTTAGGTTTCCATTCGAGGCATCTTCACTGCCTGGTACGAGTTCCTTTAAGATGTAAAGGTACAGGGAGGGCAAAGCTGGACAAAGGCCGCGGAGCACGGCAGAAAGGGTGCAGACTTTCCACATTCTCTAAGCAGATCTGAAGAATTCAGCTTTGGCCCATTCTCGCTGACCTTTCTCCAGAGTATTTTCTTTCAGGGGCTCTTCACATGGAAAATCTTGATTTTTTTTCCCCCCTCAAAGGATAGCCAAATTCTTGAGAGGGAAAATAATTATCTGGTTGAAACATTAGAAGAGGGTCAAAGACTTCTGGTGGCTTTGGCTGCTTCATTTATACCCAGTTTTGAAGCTTCATCTCAGGCTGTGTCTAGACATCCAAGGAGAGTTGGATGCAGGTCTGAAACACTGAACCGGGCTGATTTACTGGAAGCCTCGTAAATTCTGCGGATGTAGCTTCCAGGTTCTCACCACATGCTGGAGCTGTATAGATAACCCACAGCAATTTGTACTGACTGCATTTTTTTTTTTGTTTAGTCTGTTCAGCTGCAATCATGCAGATAGGAGCTTCTGAATGATTTCACTATGAAATCAAGCTGAAATACGTGTTTTACAGTTTGAAAAAATAAA